GAGGACCAGTAGTTCAAAGTCACCCCTTGACTGTGCAGAGAGTTTGAGGCCAGCCTGGGCTGCGTGAAACTCTAGCTTAACAAACAAACATGAAAGTCTAATGTTGAGTCTCACTGGCATTGGTGTCACATTCGCATCCACAACCCAATCACTGTGACTGGGAAGTGAAAGACACCAAGCAGCAAGGCCCCTGCTATCCCACCTCTGCAGAAGCCACTCCTCTGGAGCTAGTGAACTAACCAGGGACGAGACACTGTTCCTCACAGGAGCCATCAAAATGCCAGGACGGAAGTGAGTCAACTGTCCAGTTCGTCTGAAACTGGGGGGGGTCCAGAACTGATGGTTTTCTGTGATAAGGAGGAGAGTCTGTGCTAGGCAAATCGAGCTGCCTGGTCCCCTACTGTTATCAGATGACTCAAAAGGCTAACGCTGAGCCACTCTGTGCCCTGTGCCCTGGGCTCTGTGCTATCTGACCTCGAAACCAGAATCACTAAGGCTCGGGATTTTTCCCTTTCCCAGGTTTTATGTAAGCACTTCCCACTTGCAGAAGTTACCATCATGAGATAGCATGACTTGTATCTCATATGCAAATAAGGTAAACCACAGGCCCAGCCTCAAACTGTAATGGAGCTAAATGAGCCTGTTCATTTCAAACAGAGTTTCAAGCTGCCTCTCTGCGGGTTACACTCCGCCTCACTGCCTCAAAGCCTCATCGAGCACCTGCTGGGTTTTTTTTTTTTTTTTTAAATATTCTCCTTCCTCTAACCCCAAACTACACTTTTCTCTCTTCTTTTCACTTCGTTTCTCCTTATTACCCTCTTTTCTCTTTGATCCCAAAGACCTTCTTACCTTTGAGCTCTTCCTATTTTTAGCCCCCTCAAAGCCGTTGGCACTCCTACCGGCTCTTTTTCCTCTCAGTGTGCTCATACTTGATTTGGCCATGGCCTCCAAGCCCAGACTGTATACAAGCCAAGAACAGACAAAACAATCCATGAGGTGCAGAGAGATAACTTAAGATTCTGTTTATAATCAGTATTGAACCATCCTCTTTCAGTTTTTATGTGAGAATATCATGTATGTGTATGTATATGTATGTATGTGTGTGTGTGTGTGTGTATGTGAATGTATGTATGTATGTATGTGGTGCTAGAGATTAAACCTAGGGCCTCATACACGCTAACAAGTGTTCCAGAGTACATAACACATAAACATAGCATCACGCTGTCCTATGTAAGGTTTTTATTGCTTTGATAAAGACCATGACAAAAAGCAGCTTGGGGAGGAAAGGGTTCATTTCAGCTTACAGTCCACATCACAGTCCGTCAGAGAAAGTCAGGGCAGGAGCTCAAGCAGGGCAGGCACTGGGAGGCCAAAACTGAAACAGAGGCCATGGAGGAATGCTGCTTTCTAGCTTGCTCCTCAAGACTTATTCAGCCTGCTCCCGTACAACACCCATGACCAACCCTCGCACATGAATTATCAATCAAGAAAATTCCCTAAGGCTTGCCCAAAGACTCATCTGGTGGGAATATTTTCTTGAGATTCCCACTTCCCAAGTGACTCTAGCTTGTGTCAAGTTGGCATAAAACTAGCCAGTGCTTACATATTCATAATTTGCACATAGTTATGCATATCTGGGAACAGAGACTATACAGTATTTGTCTCCACACTGCCGGTGCCTAGTGTACTGTGAGGCTCAACAACTGCTTCCCTAGACAAATGCATTCATGAATGGATCAAATCACCTAAAATCCATCAGTCGCTCCATGACATTCCTCATCCCTGTCCACAGAACACTCATTGAGTCTATCTATGATCCTGGAAACCGTTCCTGGAATGTTTTGTTCCTTTCTTCCTCGCCTAGCCTTGACATGGATAGTTTTCCCCAGATAACACTTCTGCCAACCTTAGTTCCTGGCCCTGAGCCCTATCACCCAGAGTCCTTAAATCCACCAGTCCTTAAGCTTAACACCTCCTGTCAGGATCACCAAAACTCTCACCCCCACTTTTGGCTCAAGAGTTGTATTTTTGGTCCTCATACTCTGGCATAGCTACTCAAAAACTCTGATCAGTAAATATCTCACTGGCTGTACCCAGAAGCCCGGCATCTCCAGAGTTCTGTACCAGCACTGGTCCCTGGACCACCCTATTCCATGATCACACTGCCATCTCTGAGAAAAAAAAGTAACACAAAATATTTAGTACATATCTAGCTGTTGATGGCTTTTATTCCAAGAATGTAGTTTTCTATCTTTTGTGGTAAAACATTCTCTGATGATTGTGGTAACTAATAATACACTTGTTTGGAAAAATTAAGTTGGCGATTTTCTTTAGGTTCCTAAATCTTTTACACAAAATGTATTCATTTATAAAAATCGAAATGGCTTGGGACCACCAAAGCGTCTGCCAATTCAAAAATCCTTTATTTGATTTGTCTTTTCAGTGGAGAACAAAGTTGTAGAATGGGTTACAAACTAGACTTTCTGGCTATTCATCATACTTAGAAGGTGGTTTAGGTTCCAGGGCAATGAGCCTTAGCTAGAAATAAAGTGTTAGAGAAAGAAAGACAGGGAGAACCAGAGAGGTGAGGACCCTCTGCGATGCTATCCATCCTTGCCACAGGCTGGTTCTATGTAAAAAGTTTGCCCTTTGAGGGCCTATATCTCAGCACACAAGCATATGCTGGCAGCGGAAAAAGCAGCACCCTGGCTAGTATCCACCTCCATATGCCTCATGTTTGGGTTTCAACTACAGATGCAGTTGAAAATACACAGATCTGCTTCTCATCGCGTCCAAGAGCATATATGTTGTTTTGTCCAAATTATTTTTCAAAATGTGCTTGAATTTATGAGCTTATTTTAGTCTTATGTTTTGTTGGAAATTCATACGCTGTCAGTCACTCAGCCGGTGCACAGAACAATAACTAGTACCAAAAACCTAATGGCTGCTAAGCTAGTCATGCCTTCTGGCTTTAGAATTGAATCCTGAACCGAATGGGCATTTACACCCCCAGTGCGTAGCCAGGGCACTATTATCTCATTACTCCCACAAGCTAAACCAAGTGGAAATGAGTCACTTGGAACACCCACATTAGACTGAAACTCAGGTTTGATGGTCGTTTCTGTGAGTCATATCTGAGTTGGCAGTATGGATTCCTAACTTGAGCTCAGATCCCCAGCACGCACCTAAAAAGCTATGCCCAAGCGTGCGCGCGCATGTAACTCCAGCAGAGTTGTGTGCACGCATGTAACTCCAGCGCTATGAAAGAGACAGGAGGAATGAACAGGGGGCTTGCTGGCCTCCAGGCAAGTTCCAAGTTCAGTGGGGGAACCCTGTCTCAAAGAAACAAGAGTTTACTGCATACAGTGTTCACATACACTTACCAAAACACACATACCACCACCAACAACAAAAAGTAGAAATGACATATGAGCCAAGAAAAACTTAGGTCTTTCTGCGAATAGAGACATTTTGTAAGAAAAGGTTATGATTTCATTTGTGACTCACACGAAGAAATAATATCGTCAGTCTGTCTGGTATCTTGATAGTTACCAGCGCCTTCTGGGTAGTGCTCTGTGTGTGATGCTCAGCATTGCACGTTTATTCCCGCGTGTAATCTACAAAACAATCCAGATAATCCAACACTATTACTACCTCTCTTTGCAGACGGAGACCATGGGGCTTGCAGAGGTTAAGCAGACAGCTGTTAGTTACATTTGGCTGCTCAGCAATGAGATGGACATTGGGTCCAGGCTGCTCAGCTCCAGAACCCAAAGATTGTCTTGCAACCTACTTCTGCTCTCCTCTGTCCACCACGATGACGCAGAAGTCACTCTGATGCCACCGAAGCTGCCAATGGCTTAGCTTACATTAACTAGTCCATGCCACCAAACATCTGCTAGAGTTGATTTTCACTATATGCGTGTTTTGTGTTTGCAAATTTTGTTAAAATTTACCTTAGCTGGAGCCATTACTCATGGCACTCCCACAGACATAAAAAGGAAACGTGCCCAAGGTCAGAGTTTGGGTTGTCCAAGTTGCATGTTCCCAGTTGAGGGAGACAGAGTAACTCTTGCCTTCTATGTGTCTTGAGCCCATACTGTAAATAAGTGTCCTTTCTGAAGTCTGTTTAGTGACTCCTTTTTCACGTTTTTGCACTTCCTGTTGACTTTGCTGCTAAAAATGGTCACTATGGAAAGTGCTGAAGTTCTTTCTGCTGTTCCTAAGTTCCTACCTACCACATCCCCCACGGAGAAAACACATTCGTGAGACTGTAGGCACAAATTATATTACTACTGGCTACCGTTTCAATGCTAATGAATCAAAAATACATATTAAATTAGGTATCATTAAATAGAGACACACATAAATGAGGTTATCCATCAATGATGAAAATGTGTATTTTCCCTACAAGCAACGTTTCAGAATTTGCTAATTCGGTGCTGTGGTTCTTTTTAGCATAATGACTGGGAAGAATGACAATAGATTTTATCTCAACATATTTTGTCAAAGGTTGTTTGTTTGTTTGTTTGTTTGTTTTTTAACTAAGGTGGCAGGGCCCTAGGAGGTCGATGACCTCCCTGGAAGGGCCACATCGGCGAGATACCAGATCTTCAAGGTTTTGTGGCTCAGCCCCCGGAAGCCCATCCTGCCCGACATGCCACGCCTTCGAAGCAGCCACCCTGCAGTTGCTCACCCTCTACAGAGGAGAACCTGGCTAATCAGAAAAGAAACTCCCTTCAAAGGCAAACAGCGAGCGCAGTGTACATATGGTGGAAAACAAATGGCTCTTGGTACCATGTTGTGGAAATTATCTCACTTAGGTAGATAAAGAAGCAGGGCAAGCCCAGGTGGCACTGCTGAGTCCCCCTCCATTACACAGTCCATTTGTGACTTGTGGGCTGGCCTCTCCGAGAAAAACGCCATCCCTACGCTCAGGGCCCTCAGAACCTGCTCGTCTTTTGTGCCCTGTGTTTGTGTCCCGGACGCCGTTCTCCATCATGTCTGTGACGGCCTGCCAGGGCTTGGGATTCGTGGTTGCGCTGGTCGGGTTTGCGGGGGTAATTGCAGCCACTTGCATGGACCAGTGGAGCACCCAGGACTTATACAACAACCCAGTGACGGCTGTATTCAACTACCAAGGGCTGTGGCGGTCCTGTGTCCGAGAAAGCTCTGGCTTCACCGAGTGCCGAGGCTACTTCACCCTGCTGGGCTTGCCAGGTAAGGGCCAGGTGCCAGGCTCGTAGGGTGGCTGGGGGTAGAGAAGAGGCATCAGCCTGTGTCTGAGAATCGAGGAGAAGGACCAAGAAACAAGAGGAACTAAGGTTCCATTTTGACAGGAGTAACAGCCACTATGGCAATGGTTGGCATAGGAACTTTCTGGAGCTGTTGGCACTTCTATTCCATTTGTCTGTTGGTGTCCAGCTCGCCCAAGGACACAGTTTTCTAATTGCTCTTATGTGAGTAATGGCATAGTCTCAACCGCCCTCGAGAACAAGACTAAGGAGACCCAGACACTCACCACTTTCTCCTTATAGAACCACAAGCCCCTTTGCTGAGTCAGAGACCATCTAATACCTGAACAGACTCTAATATCCAGGCCTCCTGTGCCTGGCCTTCGCTCCCAGGAATTCTGAAGCTAACAGCAAGAATAGAAATGGGGCCAAGGAAAAGACACGAAGGAAAGAATCAGGGATCTTGGGGCTGCATTGTATGGGCCTGTGCTTGGGGATGGGAGAAGGCTCTGACCTCCAGGTGTCTGACCTCCAGAAAGGATTAGTCTCAAGGGACAAGACTCCTGACCCTCCCAAGGGCAGAAATGTCTACCTGGCAAATGAGTTCTGCCCTGAGGAAAAGATGCTGTGGGGCTGCCAGGCCCCTTCCCCAGATCAGCATGTTAGCCACATAACATGGTAGAGATTCTGGCTTAGTGGATTGTTCATTTCAACTTGAAGAGAAATCTGAGTTACAGGAGAATGCTGAAGGTGTAAGTTTAATTTTTGCGTATTTGTCCCTTTCATAGAAACACAGAGAAGTCTTACTAGGAGAACTGATCTAAGCTGGGTATTGTAGAAAGGATAAGAAACAACACGGGGGTTTCCTCAGGTGGGACCTACCATTTGACCACAGGTCAAGACTTAGACACCTCCCTCCAAAGGGAGCAAGAGAAGATGGCAGTTACATGGCGATTTGTCTTTTCATAGATTCGCCATCCGTATACAAAGTGATCCCAACCGTTGATGCAGAGTCCTTACCTGAGCGGGTTTGTTTTACAAAATGTCTATGGCCGTAAGATTTCTGGGACCTGGTGCTTCCTTGTAGTGGGCTTTCTCATCTGAGGAGAAAGGCATTCCTGAAATCTAGCTCCAATGGCTACATCAACACAGTTATTTCTGAAGTTAGATGGATAAAGTTCTTTACTCTGTATTTCCGGTGGTAATTGTTGTGATCGGTTATGTGCAAAAAGCCTATTGTGAAATGAATGCAGGCAGCACCAAGAGATTGACTGCCAGGCACAAGCCTTCAAGCATGGAGCCCTGAGAACCACTGAGTGAGAAGTCCGCCAGCCATTTTGCTCATCAGAAGTCAAGGACTGATGTTCTTGATCCCTGTAGAAGCATTGGGAGCAGTAGAGACAGAAACTATCTGCAGCGAGCCAGAGAACCCAGGGCATGACTCTTTTTCTTTTTTATTGTTTCTGAAATGGAAAGCACTGATATTTTAAAATTCCCACCGGGAATGCAAACACAGATTCTCAGGCTCAGCAAGAAACAGCCAAACACAGCACAACCTGCCAGAGCAATAGTTCTCAACCTTCCTAACGCTGTGACCACTTATTGGGGCTCCTCAATGTGTGGTGACCCCCCAACCATAAAATTATTTCCATTGCTACTTCATTGTAATTGTCATTTCACTACTGCTGTGACTCATAGTGTAAAGATCTGTGTTTTCCAATGGTCTTAGGCGACTTCTGTGAAAGGATGGGTTGGCCCCAATGGTCTCAGCCCTCACATTGAGAACCACTATTCCAGGAGAACTTCATGCATAGGACTGACTGCCTCTGCCTACCTAGAAAAGGGCATTTTACTAGGCTCACATCCAGGGGTCAACCTGTTCCAAGATGACTGGATATAGACAAGGTTCCTTTTGGGGAGACACAGAAAAGGAAAAGAAAAGCCCTTTGGTTTCCTCACACAAATATAAATCGTAAGGGACTAAACAATGACGTAGAAATTGTGGCATTAGAATATATATTTATTTATTCAATGAACATTGGCTGAGCACCAACATATTTAAAGCTGAGTGTGGATAACTTAGTGATCAAGGGGCTTAAAAAAAAAACCTAGAGACAGAAAATGGACCGTTATCATATTGGCCTTCTCAACACGTTAGGATACGTATTTCTCTTGAAGGTCATTCTACGAGTTTTAGGATATTTTACTCATTAGGTGGAAATAGCATTGTTTCCTAAACCTATTTGTCACTACCAAAAATGTCTCCTGACATATCCAAATATCCTCAAGAGTCATCTCTGGTTAGTGAACAAATGAATGAACAATTCAGACTGCCAATTCAAGGAAGAAAGAAAAAACTGCTTCATAAGTATTTTGTTATTGTTGTTGTGAGTTTCTTGAATTGGGATCTCACTGAGTGATCCTGACTGGCCTAGAACTCGCTTTGCAAACCATATTGGCCTTGAATTCAAAGCCTGCCTGTCTCTGTCCCGACTCCCAGTGAGTGGTGAGCATAAAAGTATGCTCCATCGTACTCAGCCCATAAGCTTGTGTGTGTGTGTGTGTGTGTGTGTGTGTGTGTGTGTGTGTGTGTGT